GTTTGCAACATATCATTTATATGCAGAAGAAACAGCGTTGGTGATAGCACACAGCCTTGTGGACCAGCTTGAACACCAGCGTTAACAGACTTGTAATCGGATCACGCACCGTCTACTACGACCTTGATGCTCCGATCTGCAAGAAAGCTGGTGATCCAATTGCACAATTTCTCGGGAAACCCATAGGTAGGAAGCTTCGGAAGAAGCGCTTTGTGCCAGACCCGATTGAAGGCCTTCGCTATGTCCAAACTAACGGCCAATGCCTCCCCCTTGGACTCGATCGCCTGCGCCCATCTGTGTTAGGTAAACAAGAAGATCACCGGCTGAGCGACCCCGACGGAAAACGTACTGGCAGTCACTAATCAGCTGGTGCTCCTCAAGGTACACACGCATGAGCCGGCAGTTAATAATGGACTCCATTATTTTCGAGAACAAGAAGGTGATGGCGATAGGCCTGTAATTGGACGGATCAGAGCGGTTACCTTTTTTAGGGATCGGCTGCACGAAAGCTGTCTTCCAAGTAGGAGTACCGAAGAAGACGCGATAGAACCGATGCCAACTCTGGAGCACACGTCCTCAGCACAATTGGCGGGATTTCGTCATTCCACTCGACTTGTGGATGTCCAGGGAGAGGAGTGCTTTGCGTACTGAGCACTGTGTGTATCGCACATCAAGCATAGACCACTCACACTGCGGGATGGTCGGCGGTATGTTCCCCCTATCATCAAGTGTCGAGTTGGATGCAAAAAGGGAACCTAAAAGGTCGGCTTTCTATTTTGCGGCGTGGGCCAATGAGCCATTCTCCCTGTGCAGAGATGGTAGTGACGGCTTACAGAAATTCCCCTGGCGAGAGACTAGAATGCACGGGTTCCCGAAAGAAGGCGAACTTGAGCACACAGGCAGAATTAGCGAGTTTCTCGCCAATTCTGCCTGTGTGCTCTGACTTTGCCTTGGCAATAACTCTTTTGAAGGAACTGGAGGCGAAGTTATACTTCTTTTTAAGCATGCTGGTGTACACATCCCGAGCAGCCGAAGCCTCAGCCCAAGCCTGATAACACTCCTGCTTACTGCGTAATGCAGTACAGGAGCGACCAAACCAAGGCTGAGATCTGCCACCGATGGATACCACAGATGATGGAATAAATAGTTCCTTTCCCTGTAGCGCCACATCGACGACAGTCAGCAACAGCGCTCGGATCATCCAGCGAGAAGCAAACCCGCCCCCATGGGTACGATGCAAAGAAAGCCCGCATTCCGTCCCAATCCGCCGACATGTAATGCCAAACACGGCGGCAACCTGCAGAATGCAACAACGAGGAGAGCGTGAGTGGCACCACACTCCGGATCAGACAATGGTCCGAAGATCTGAGAGGGACATCGACGGAAACCTGATATCCGTCCGGATGACAGGTCAGCAGAAGGTCCAACAGGGAAGGTGTATGATCCTCCACATCTGGCATCCGCGTAGGCGAAGTAACCAGCTGTGTCAGACCATATGCCAAAGCAGTCATTAACAGATCTCCCTGCATGATCGTGAACAGAGTCATTCAGCGTGGTGGGCGTTAAAATCGCCAAGTATCACAATCTCTACGGATGGGATCTGTTGTAGCAAGAAATCTGTAGCCATTTGGACGTGGTCAATGAGTCGGTCTGTGTCGGCATTACCGCTATGGGACCTATACAGGTACTCGTAGACCTTCAAGACTGCCGAGGCGTGATTAGCTGTGATAGTGATTTCAAGAACTAGCTAATTCAGCTCTATCAAATTAGCCGGGAAAGATTTTTGTGCAAAGCACATAAAAAATAATTTTGTAACTCAAACCGGTTCCGTAAAAAACAAGTTACTCCCATCTTTATATCAAGCTAGCAGTAAAATAACGTTATCAATTAGAAAGTCAAATAATAGGTCAAATGTAGACATAGTCGTATTATAGCCACAAAGACTGCAAATTGCAGCCCGTGGCACATAAGAGCGTTTTAAACAGCATTTTTAGTTGAGTATAAGTTTATATGATCTCATTATAAGAATTTCGGTCACGGCGGCCATCAGTCTCAACGGAGGCTAGCCCAGATGCAGAACCCAACGGCTTTGCGGGTTTTACGTGCTTTTCCAAGGAATGGCGGTGAATCACCGCCAACTTCGTGACTCCGGTCTGCTCCTGAGAATTTCAAACTGAGAATTTAAAACCCAATAACCGTCTTTGTGGACCAAAGACGGACCTGGAATTCAAAACCGGGACCACAAGATCAACAGTCGCCACCATGTAACCACCAAGCCAACAAGGTAGTCCTCACGAGACCAAACACAGTCATGACCTCATTACGACGTATTGGTCATGTAACCACTAAGCTAACAAGGTAGTCCTCACGAGACCAAACACAGTCATGACCTCATTACGACGTATTGGTCATGTAACCACCAAGCCAACAAGGTAGTCCTCACGAGACCAAACACAGTCATAACCTCATTACGACGTATTAGTCATGTAACCACCAAGCCAACAAGGTAGTCCTCACGAGACCAAACACAGTCATGACCTCACTACGACGTATTGGTCATGTAACCACTAAGCCAACAAGGTAGTCCTCACGAGACCAAACACAGTTATGACTTCATTATGACGTATTGGTCATGTAACCACCAAGCCAACAAGGTAGTCCTCACGAAACCAAACACAGTCATGACCTCATTACGACGTATTGGTCATGTAACCACTAAGCCAACAAGGTAGTCCTCACGAGACCAAACACAGTCATTACCTCATTACGACGTATTGGTCATGTAACCACTAAGCTAACAAGGTAGTCCTCACGAGACCAAACACAGTCATAACCTCATTACGACGTATTGGTCATGTAACCACTAAGCCAACAAGGTAGTCCTCACGAGACCAAACACAGTCATAACCTCATTACGACGTATTGGTCATGTAACCACTAAGCTAACAAGGTAGTCATCACGAGACCAAACACAGTCATAACCTCATTACGACGTATTGGTCATGTAACGGGTTGGTAATGTGCTATTTACAGTAAACATAGGTATTATATATTGTCATAAGAGGCTCAGTGCTTCATTTTAAGATTTTAATAACATCGCAAAGAAAACTGCAACTTCCCATGTTTTAGAACTTAACGATTATTTTGTTCACTAGCTACACACTACTAGTGACTTTACAACAAAAATGCTATCTCATTAGACAATTAATAACACTCGTACATATTAAGTCGTCGAGTCTGCGTGCGAGACGACTCGTACTGACTCTCGAAAACAGCACGTAGACGCGGACTGTAGTTCTTCAAGAAAGCGTTGCGTTGTCGCCTTTCTTGAAGAACAAGACCACCGCACTTCTGCTACACACCTCCTGAGTAGTGCCACCATGGAAGATGGAATTAAAGACCTTCTGGAAGACTTCAAATACTGGTTTTCCATCCGCTTTCAGAAGAATTACTGTTAAATTCAAACATGTAATTAACTTCTATCCGGTTATAAAATTAGTTTTACCAATTAATAACAACTTTTCTAAATCCTTTTCTGGAATTTATTTTAAAATAAGTAGCTAAACACCCGTCTAAACTAAATGTTGAGTTATTGTACAAATTCACATAGATAATTATTATATTATTGCTACCATCAGGAATGAAGGTAACATTGCTCAAATACTATGAAATCAATAATTTAAAATTTTTTACAATCGACTTCAATATAAATTATTAAGAATAACTCAAAACTATTGGTCAGACCTTGATCAGATTTATATGGGACCACATGGGAAGCACCAGCTTTCAAATAAAAGAAGAATCATCTAAATCGGTCACCCAGTAAAAAGTTATGCTGTCAAATTGTAATACCGTCTCCTTATTGAAAGAAGAAAATACAGCACCTTAACTATCATAATTTGCTATACCTGCTATGCAAGTGTTTTTATATTAACTTGCATACAGATCTCTGTCAAGCCTATGATACTGAAGGAATAAATAAAACTCAAGGTATTGTGATAAAATTTATAAGTATGTAAATATTGAAATAAATAGATACATGATTACAAACATGTTATACACCATAATAATTGGTAGGTTAGAATCCAGTAAAGTGCATTATGCTAACATTTCATAATTACAAAGCAAAAGTACCTACATAAGTGAAGTGAAGTACACATAAATGAATACAAGCCAGATTTTCTCCAATTTACTAAAACTGATTAAGGAATGATAATAATACTTTTAATTAACCTTAAAAGATTTTATATTAACCACTTGAACTAAAATCACTAAGACACTTGGCTAAAAAAAATGTGGTTGTGACAATGGAAATGTTTTCGAAAAAATGCAATCAATTTCAAATGCATAAATCTCTTAATCTCTTAGAAACGAGTTTGTTTAGCACCTGTCTGTTGAGATTAATAAAGTCTTCTTTGTTTAACCTTATATCTAATTAAGTTTATTACATACCAATACATTAGTTTGGCAATTATAAACATATGCTATCAATATAGATGGTAGGTCAATGCAAAAACACAAATAACAAACCCATATTATGATGGCTTCAATAATAATCAACTTAACCAAAATATATTTTTAATTTCTGCATATGAATTATTAAAACTTAATTTTAAATCAAACATATGGCAATGTTTTCTATTCTTAAATTACATTTTAATTTAAATAACAAGAATGTGCATCACACAGAATGTTTGCTTATATTTTTTCAAATAATTTCATCTAACATCCTATACATATTTTTTACTGAATGGTGCTCCAGAATTTATACTTTAGATCATATGTTTTAGAGGTGCAAAAGGCTTTATATTATGTACCTTGCGTATTTTGCATAATTTTTTTATATAAAATAATTTGATTTTAGTTTAAATGAGAAAGAATAAGGTATTGATTTCATTCTCAACCCTATATAATTAAAACTGACTTAGAAAATAATAATCAAAACAAATACTTAATTTTCATGGGCTGTCAACCTTTCTGACTCGTGTGTGACCACTACTTTACTGCTCATCTTTATCTTTGGCACCATGCTTTAGGATGCGTGTAAATTCAACATAGTCAAACAGTCCATCACGTATTGGTGCCTCCCGAAGCATTTCATCAACATCATCATCAGTGAATCTGTCACCCATAGTGGTGAGTAATTCACGCAGCCGTTCCTCAGCAATCACACCATTGTTCTCTTCATCAAAACACCTAAGAAAAGAAAATTTTTGGAATTAATGTTTAGTTAAGTACTAACACAATTTATTAAAAATATTAACCATTAGTATGAGCATCATATGAGTAAGTGGGAACCAATTTTCCCTCAAAGTGCTACTCCAAGTGCTTGTGGGGCACCCATGTTAATTAACAGACAAGGCTCTGATGACCAGCTGGCGGTGTAAAATCTATTCAAACCCAAATCTCCCAGGCTGGTTGACTGGGTTCTATGTTTAACAACCCACCTGGCCAATATGATAAATATAAGCTAATCTTTCAACACATGCACTATTTAGTGCATTTTCAAAACCCTATTTCCAACAGCAGAAAGAAAGATATTTGTTTATTACTTTGACGAAATAATCAATGTTTTAGAATGTAACAAAACAAATATCACTATACTACCAATAGTGGTCCCAGTGACTAGTGATTGACAAGGCATATATTAGGGCATGGAGCTATATATATACCTTGGGGAGCAACTTTAATACATTGAAGTACTCGGTTCTGAAATCTGCAAAGTTAATACAACAAGAATATATGTGGGCAACTATTTTGTCACATTATATTCAAGTGATTAAAGCAAATCCGAGTTTACCCAGTTGTATAATCAAATCAAAAATTAATATTTATACATATCAGTGTATTTAAACACAACACATGCCTCAAAACAATATACTAAATTTTCTCTTATTAGAACTTAGTTTTCAAAAGCACTATGTAAGCTCCCTATGGTATATAATATCCAGGGTTATTTTCCAATGAGTTGCGAAAATTTTAAACTTAACTTCAAATATATAAATAATGATATACAGTTATTACAGTTTTAGAAAATACAGGTATATAAGGCTTTTACTTTTATTTGAAATTATCCCAAATTGAATGTTATTTATGGACAACAACATTTTTGCTTACCAATTGTCTCTTTCAAATGTGTGCGTATGCAGTCAAATCAGTTAAAATAATGCATTACCACACATTTTAAATTTAAAAGATAAAAGGACATAATTATTGAGATTCCTTTTATTACATTTTCTTCCCCATTTGAGTATATTACTTACTCTGAACCTTCTCTGCAAATTTGGCCAGTTATTGCAAAATAACCCTGTATACATCAATCCATGTACAGGCTATCAATTTCACTGTCGAAAATTACATTCACAGATCAGGCCAACAACATTTGTATAGTTGCCATGCTTGGCAGGTGGGTTGGCAACTGTAGTTTTTTATGTTGTAGTTATTATTATAAAGACTCGACTCTCTAATTTCTTTCTTTCTATTACCTCTTACAACTCCCAAGAGATGATATAGGGTAGTACATATTCTAACTAACCACTACATGGTTAGTATACATACAAACAACAATATATTGAGTATCACACATTGAGACATTTTTTTAGTTTTAATTTTGTCTGATCTAAGTACTATAGTTTACTCACCCAAATGCATTCTTAATAACATCCTCAGGATCTGTACCTTGTAGACGCTCGCCAAAGAGTGTAAGGAACATGGTAAAATTAATAGGACCAGGCGCCTCATTCATCATATTCTCCAAATATTCTTCAGTGGGGTTTTTTCCTGTTTAAGAAAATAGAAATTGAATAAGTATTAACAATTTTTAATTCAACTAAAAAAAATTTAAACATGAACGACATGTTGTAGCACCTTGTAGTGGTGGTGTAAGAATATCCACTACCCCATATCATCTCGTGGGTGTCGTAAGAGGCGACAGAGGAAAACAAATCAGGGGTTTGGGCAGCAGCATCTTCCTAATTACCACTAAAAATAAAAAACTACAGTTGCCAGTCCACTTACCAAGTGTGGCAACTATGGCAAATATCCCTTCTATGAGGCAATTTATGCAGGAGACCTAAGTTCAGCAGTGGACTATAATAGGGGTAATGTTTTTTTTAAGCATTGAGAATATTACTTTTACTGCAAACATGTTCAAATATTAAGCAGTTCAATTATTAAATTTATTTTTTATCAATAAAAGAATTCTTGTAATGACTTTTATGTTGTAGAAATCCCTTTCTGCCTAGTAGTCCATCTAGATGGATATGGCTCTCTTACCTATTTCTACCGCTAAGCAGCAGTGTGTGCAAGTGTGTATTCAGGTCTTTAGGATATAGAAAGCCAGTATAATTACAAGCTGTGAAGTTCCATTTTAATCTTCAGTGGTGACAACAAACTTGTATTCCAGGTAGTGAGATGCGCCACAGTGGCCACTTACTATTGACTATTTCTCAGTCACTTAAATTTTATATAAAAGGTTTCCACTCTTAAGCTATACAATAGTGGTATGCGAGAGTAAAAAATTTCATTGTTTTTCAGCAGCAACATTTGTACTGTTAGCTAGAAGGTTTTTACAGCTTTCAAAATTAGGACTATATCAAAACGGTGAGTGGTACTAATCATGATGATGATGATGAAGATAATGATATTAATACTGGTATGGGTTATATTCACCAATGTAAGGACTTACCAAGAGAGGCAAGCATATCATGAAGGTCATCTTTATCTACAAAGCCATCTCGGTTTTGATCTATCATGTTGAACGCCTCCTTAAATTCAGCAATTTGAGCCTGATCAAACATAGCAAATACATTTGAAGTAGCACGCTGGGCGCGTTTTTTATTGGTGCCACGACGGCCAGCTGTCTTGCGGGACGACATGATCTAAAAAAAACCATTCTCACTATAAAATATTATTTCAACAACATTTTTTTAAAACAATACACAGCACAATAACAAATAAATAATTTTTGATACATTATTCGAACGTTATTTTAATATATTTAATGAGCTCAAGATGAAATTTTTCAGAATAAGGAACACCACCAACTACAAGTTTTATTACACATTGCGGATTACTTACTATAAAACCCGATAAGTTTATAAATAAAGTCTGACAGCATTCACCAAGCAAGCTAGGCGTAATAAATTCCTCGTCTTGTTAAACGCGCTACTCGTCACTTAACACGTTAACGCTCGCTTACCCGAAACTGACTCATGCCCTCAATTTTTATCAAAAATTTTCAACGAAGTTCGATAGTAAAATATGTGGCATACAATGTCACAATCTCAAAGACCCAGCAAATACCGAAGAATACCATAAATGGTAGTGTTTTAACGTAACCAGCCAGTACACTCAAGGATGCTAGTTAATAAACCATCTGTTGATGTTTGAAGTCATTTATTACACACAAACTTCTTAATATATGTTACTTACATCTCACAATTTATTAAAATCGTCGTCAATAGCTGATTACAACAATTTAATTGGGTTATTATAAATTTATTGTTAAAAGTTGTCAAAATCAATTTCGCTTCTAAAAAGGAATTAATGACTAATTCTCAGTGTTGCCACCAAAGAGTATAATAACCCCGCCTAAGGGTATTAGTGTTCTGTGATAATAACTGTCCTATACAGGAAGTTGCCACCTTGCAGAAAAATTTATCACTAGCAATAATCACTAGTTCTGGTCTGAAATTTCACCAGATTTAGGGATATTTTTACATAAAAAAATCCCTAGAATTCACCAAATTATTTAATCAAATCACATGGTATGTAATAAAAATATATTTATTTATTTATTTATTTATAAGGTACACCAACAGCAAAACACATGAAACATTAACAACACGATAACAAAAGTATATGGTTAAATATGTTTGCCAATTACAGGTATACACAACATTTACCGTAATGTGTAGCTTATTATATTATAAAGGTACTTAATACAAAATAACTTCATTAAGAAAAAACTGACTAAGGAATGAGTGTGTGCTGAGAGGGTGAAAAGAAATTGGTAAATTTTTTTTAAAGCATCGGGCAGAGTCGTTTAAAATGTCAATGTCCGGTACCTTGGTCATAATTTCATTGTATGTGTTACATATTCTGGCTAGGGGATAATGCGCGCCTAAATTTGTTTTGTGGCTAGGTATGCTAAATAGTTTGCGAATTGGATATCGGGTATATCTGTACGGGATAATTAATTTGATGCGATCGAGGAGATGCGTACTTTTGATTTTGTTAGGCACTTGTGTAGAAACATTAAGTCTGCAATGACACGTCGGTCACGTAAGGTCGTCATTTTGAAAAATGCTAGCCTCTGACTATAGGGGTGTCTATGCGATATGCCTGGAGTCGAAAAAGCAAGGAAGCGCGTAAAAGCTCTTTGAATTGTTTCGATTCGCTGAGAAGATGCACTATAGACTGGGTTCCATGCGACACTTGCAAATTCGAGGTGTCTACGTACTAGTGCATTGAAAAGAACCTTCTTAGTTTGGAAACATCGGAAGACTTTCGCGTTTCTTTTTAGGAATCCCAACATACGAGCCGCCTTTTTAATAATATTATTAGTGTGAGTGGTCAGTTTCATCTTACAATCCAACAAGACACCAAGGTCCCTGAACTCCCTCACCTCCGCCAAGGTCACGTCACCCAATGAGTAGGTAGTAGTGATGGGGCGTCTTTTTCTGGTGTAGCTTATGTGGTAGCATTTATTAGGATTTACAACCATTCCGTTAATTGCACACCAATCCATTAGTTTGTTTAAGTCAGATTGCAGGAGATCAGCATCCCCGGGACCCTCGATTGTTCTACTCAATTTGAGATCGTCAGCAAACATAGATATACTACTATTTTCTATATCTGTAGCTATGTTATTAATAAATATCAAAAAGAGTAGAGGACCCAAGTGGGACCCCTGGGGAACACCAGACTCAGCCAAAAACATTTCAGACTCAAATCCATCTATAGCCACTTGCTGAGGTCTTATTGCCAGGTAAGATTCGTACCACTGCAACAGTGGACCACTTATGCCTATTCCACTTAGTTTATAATATATATACGCTAAATATATATATATATATATATATATATATATATATATATATATATATATATATATATATATGTATATTATACATACATATATATATACAAACGCTAATTTCAGGAACTAACGCCAGAGGGCGCTCGGCGCGTGCATTCGAACCGGTTTGACTTTCGCGCGAGAGAGTTTTTTGCTACCGGCGGCGGATTCGAGTAGAGAGCACTCCCTGGTATATAGAGTATTATCTATGGAGAGCCCGTTTGAGGACGCCCGGGAAACCTCCATTTTTGGAGTCGGTTTTGTTAGCAGATATTGCCACGACGAAGGTTTCTTTGTTAAGTCTAGAATTCGACGCCGGGCTGACAAATTGTTAGGAAGTTAACATTGATTGCGATCAAAGTCTGAATTGCGTATTAGGCGCGCCTAATTTACCGCGAATTTGGTTATTCTAATTTGATAGCGTGTATAAGTGATTTGACAATATTAATTGTTCGTGCGGTGTGTTACGTTTTTGCTTATAGTAACGGGATTTCGTATAGACCGACATTCTGTATTTGTTTTGGCTGTTACGCTTTATAACAAATTAGAGTTAGTGGCTTCTGTAAGTTAGTTAATCGTACGATAGAGTTAATGGACTATCATCATGATGAACGAAGAAGTGGTCCGGCGCCGAAGCAGTCTGAAGCGGTGCAGCATTTTGGAGCAGCCTGGAACTCGGCCGCTGCTGATCGCCTATGCTTGCCAAGGCCCCACACATTCACACCTCACTGTACACTACTCGCCATCCACTATTACACACACTCACGGCCTGCCCAAGCCTTGGTGCGAAGTTAGCTTCGGATAATGGTAAGTACTACGTGTTTCTAGCTTTCTCCCTTATTGTTTAGTGTAACTAGAGATTTTCCACTTTGGCCTTAGGAGGCCCGACCTACGTCTGCTCGTCGAAACTCAGCTGAATGGGCCCCTGAGGATTTGGGAGCAGCCGTAGGTCGTAATATATATAGTGTACGGAGCATGCAATCCGTGTGTGCGTAAAATTTTGTCTTGACAGTGCATAAATGTGCGTACAAACTGTGCGTATCCACGAATTTTGACTTCTACGAATTCATGTGATTCTGGTACTTTTTACTAATATTGGTCGTGAAAGATTTGACACTGTAGATCAGGTTCAGGTGTTCGTTGCAAACAGGTTTTTGAGGATATTAGTAACTTCTGAATGCTTATGGAATTCTGGTAGTACTTAATTGTTTTTTGGTATCTACAAAACTTAAAAAATAATAACAAGTTACCTGCCTCAAATTTATGGGATCCTAGTACATCCAGCAAAACCATATTAAAATTTGATATTTGACATCCTTCAACTACACTAGCTAACTTCTAATTTAAACCTCTTTGATTTCTATAGTACCCTGGTATATCGACCACTAAAAGTGTAAAATATGGATAAGTCACTTTCTGAGACAAATCTTAAAGAATTAGAGGGTAACTCCAAAAGACATACTTCACCATATTTTAAAATATCTCAACGGCAAAGAGGTAACAAAAGAAAGAAGGACAGTGAAGACGCTTCTCTGCAATCCAAGACAGAAACTTTGGTTTGTGATTTCGTGAAATTTAAACAAGAAGTGAAATCTATGATTAAATTATTGTTTACTGAACAACAGGAGGAACTTAAAAAGATTAATCTTACCCTTACTTGTATACAAGAAACAAATGCTAAAATTGAAAATTCGATCGAATTATTTTGCTGACTCTTCCTGAGTCAGCAAAATAAAGAGTTCAAGGAGAAAATAGCTACTTTATAATCACAGTCTAAGGAAGATAGAGCTTATATTGAGATTCTGGAAAATAAAATAGACAATCTGCAGAAGGAACACAGGAAAGCTAATTTTGAAATTAAAAATGTATCGAAAAAAGAATTTGAAAATAAATCAGATCTTATAAATATGGTAAAGATGTTGTCTAAAAACGTCGGTTCAGATTTGACTTCGTCCGATATAAAGGACATCTATAGAGTACGCGGAAAAAAAGGAAAGTCTCCAAATACAACTATTGTTGTAGAAACAACATCATCCCTTCAGAAAATGGATTTGCTCAAAAAATGCAAAATCTTTATTAATATGAACAAATCTAAGCTCCGTGCGAAACATCTTGGTATGACTACCTCTGAGGAGACCCCAATACCTGTATCTGAGCAATTAACTGCTAAATCTGCCAGACTCTATTTTATTGCCAGGGATTTAATTAAATCTACGGATTATAAATATTGCTGGACCAATTATGGCAATGTCTACGTTAGAAAGGATGATGAATCCGCCATTATTACATTGACTTCTGAACCCAAAATTCATAAACTGTTCAATGTAAAATGACTAGATTTGGTGTTTATGTTGTCATATAGTTTGTATTCTTGGTTTCTGTTATGGTTTTTTATTTTATTACGCTGTACGTTGCATTGGGAGGCAAACGCGCGTTTTTGGTTAGGCGTTATTACGATTTCAATTTTAATTAATGTTCTTCTTACACTTACACTCACTCTCATAGTACACACACAATACACAAAATCAATTATACATTTCCCAAGTTTACCATGGCGTAGAGATAATGGCAAAATATTTATAATTACTAAATTTTATGAAATATTTAGCACAATGACCTTCCACGTTATTCTCAAATATTCAATTTTAAACTACCCCCTCGATTATTTCAATCTTTCTATTTATATTAAATAAAATAATTACTTCTTGGAGGTCCACTTCCTGTGGGGTCGCTTCTGGAAGAAAGAGTTCATCATAAAGAGTTCCTCTTTCTCCATGAAATCGGCGAGCTGCTGGC